TGTGTCTATTAAACCTATTAAGTAAAATGCAATACAACACCCACGACGAATGGATGTTTCGATCATCACGTTTGCATGTGCGTAGACCGAAAAAGTTTCTTATAGGTAATTGATGTGACCTATGATTGATGTTGATAAATTAAGGATTTAAATCTTGGTCTTCAACTTAAGAGCATATGGTATGAGCAACTTGAAGTGGTGTTATAACAAGAAGCAACAAGATGAGGGGGTGGTGTTCATGGTGTTATAACACCATGTTAAGAGGAGAGAGATAGAGAGAGATAATTTGGCAGCCAATAGGTGATCACGTTTCTTCTTGTCATGGAGACAACAAGAAGCACCACAACAAGATGCAACAAGGAAGGGGGGGGGGTGTTTTTGATGTTATAACGACGTTATGGGCTGCCAACTCAGCCATAACAAGAAGCAACACGACCCACACCGTATGCTCTAAGGGGATGAGTTGGAGTGTGAAACTAGGATTTTTGATTCTGACAATTTATGATTCATGAGATATACCAACCAATGTAGTTTTTGATCATGCAAAATTTTAATGTTGTTTTTTCTCATGCCAATTGTTTGAGTGTATTTATAATAACTCTTTACAACTTTTATATAATAATTGGTTATATTCTTTATTTTTTTGTGAAAAGGACCCTATGTGATTTGTTTTGTTTGTATTTAACATATCTAATTCATTTCATATATCTACGCAGTACGCACCTGTTGTTGGCATTTTTGGTAGAAAATAGTGGGAATGATAGGACCAATATGAAGCTATTAGAAAGATTCATAACGGAAATTAGAAACAATGAAACTTTAGTGGCGGAAGTAGAATTACTTTTTCTTTATGGTAAGTGGAGACCAGTTTTTAACTTTTTATGTATCTTCCTCTTTACACGCTTCTAAAATTTTAATTTCATTGCTAGTAATTCTGACTTAGGGTTTATCAGAGTGCTGCAGACTTTTGAAAAGCTCAGGTAATCCCGGTTCTCTGTTATTCTTGCCCTAATTTAATGGCGTTGTAGAATCTCAATTAGTCTAGAATTCAAGAAGAAAGTCATATACGGATTATTATGTAAGCATAGTTTTCGACTGGAAGTGTAATATGTTCTTTACCTACTTCTCAAATCAATCGGAGGATTTTATGCATGATATGTTGTTCGTTTTTCTTTGGCCATGCCTTCAAACTGTTTGATATAATGTCTCAATCAATCGGTAATTATTTTTGCACACCAACTCTAAATTTTGCCTACTTATCTCTAGATAAGCCTGTTTCCCAGATCAATTGGAGTGTTTTGCATTAACCTACGCTATTATTTATATTTACTTTACCATGCTTTCAAACTGTTCGAGACTTCGATATAATGTTTCAACTAATTTGGGCATTTCCCTTTGGGTACACTCGCGTCAAATTTTGTGTGATTGTTTCCTGGATTGATGTTGTTTAGTGTTTCATTGAAGCTCTTTTATTCCATCTTTTAACTGAAGTTACGAACACAATTCCATCCCCATGGAATCAAAGTTCCCAAAGTTGCCTTGATTGTTTTCACTAATTGTTGAACAACTGAACATGATTTTTTATATGAATAATGGAATACAATCGTCTGTAATTCAGGATACTTTTTATTGTATATACTGAAAAACCCATGGTTAACCTAATAACCATCGTTTCTTAGTTTCCAACTTCCCATTATACTTCAAAATGACATTCTATGTATGAAACATGAAAAAAGTTTGCAGTTTCAAATATTTATGATTGTTGTTTCTCACTTGTATAAATTTTGTTTAAACCTTTCCAGATTTTTAGTCCAAAATGGAACACGGTTCATATCAGGATCTATCAGCTTCAACACATACCCTGAACGATGAAGATCATACACTAGCAAACTCTCTAAGATTCACTCTTAACCAAGAGTAAGTACATGCTCTCAAATTCCTGCAATTATTCAGATATTACTTGAAGGGAAAAAAAAGAAACAGGACCTTAGTGTAATTTACTGTTATTGCCTTGTGTTTTTAGTCCAAGAGTTACACTCTGTGGATACAGTATTCCTCATCCTTCAGAAGCTAAAGTAAACATAAGAGTCCAGACAACAGGTACATATAATTACAATTATAACCCTTTTCCAGAAAACATGCATGATCTATCACGGGATTTTAATCATGAACACTATTTAAATAGTTGTCCCACTATTGCAGGTGATCCAGCAAAGGAAGTATTGAAAGATTCATGCCAAGATCTCATGATGATATGTCAGCATGTTAGGAGCACTTTTGAGCAAGCAGTTGCTGATTTTAAGAACAATGAAGGCTCTGAAAGCCAGTAAACGAAGAGCTTATTACTGCCCTCTGTTTGATTTAACATTGATCATAGTCTTAAGGGGTTGTTAATTTTTGATTTAATGATCTTAATGGGTTAAGAACTTAGTTCCGAAGACACTTTCACGTTTCTTATTAAAAGTTTTAAAATTTTGATGATCACAAAAATCACTCTTATCATTGCATTTGAGAAAACTTGGAGCATTGTATTATTGTTTTATTGTTGTTCAAGAAAGACCTTAACTAACATATTAATTACATCATACGAGATATAAATCAGTTAAATAACTGTCTGTTGTGTTGCCCAACTTGTTTATTTATTTATTTTGTTTTTTCTGTAAAAATACCACAACAGAGCCAATAATGTTATGGCATACGTGATATTTGTAGTGATTTTTTACATATATGATAAAGAATAATTGAACTCAAAAAGAACATGAAACATATACTTCCAGGCTTACAACTTACAAGTATATACACTTTTGTAATCCAACGTTCAGTCCATACACACATACACTAAGAAACATCAATTGTTACTTTTTTTTTTTTTTTTTTTTAAATAAAATAATCTGAATTAAGGCAATACATTAAAGTGAAAAAGCCAAGAAATGATAAATGCAAAAACCATGCAACCCAACAGGATATTCATGATTCTGCGACCCTGCCAGAAGTTACGTGGCTCAGTAGCCACCACCATGGGGCCGGTGGCTGATCGTTCAACCACCTCTGTTTCAACGGTTGCATTGCTCGCCTCATTTGTCTGATCCCCACCAACATTTTGTGCAATCGCACCACAAATCTCACAAGTCCTGTATCATCATCATCATCATCATAAATATTTTTAGAAGCATAAAGTTGAAAGAATCAAGTCTTTGTCCCCATTAAGTTGTGTACATCTAAAATGGATGAATGGGTAAAGTGTTGTATACATAAGGTCTGTTTCCTTTAATAAGATTGAATAAACCCAACCGTCTGAGCTTAGACTAAATGACCATTTTGCCCTTGCATCCCGAAAAACAATTTTTACAATGCTCATTGATTTTAACGTAATAGGAGTTGGGGGAGAAAAAAAGAAATGCAAATATGTAAAGGGTTAGCGTCTTAATACATTAGATCCATGTTTTTAGTGAAAAAGAAATATCCATGTATTGATGTTCAGATTAAGTACTTAAGTACTGAACCCATTAAGCCTAGTAAGTGAAAAGGGAGAAAGCACTTAAGTCTTTGCTTTATTAATCCCTTTAATTAAAAAAAGAAACAATGACAATGACAATGACCCGAGCCTTAATTACATACCACCAAAAAGTTGCCAATTGGCAAGGAAACTATACATAGCGATAAGCCGTATATTGCCATCAACTACGTTACAAAATTTGTATGCAAATTATTGAATCTTGAAATATTAGAAGTTGGAAATACAAACAAAACAAAAGAAAACAAAAACAAAACATGTAGGTCAATATAATTCTTGAAAAATTAATAAAAATATGTTTGTTTGAGGTTAGGTTATCTCACATCTTACCAAACACGATGCAATTAGCATGAGTAAATTATAATAGTTTTAAAAGCCAAAAGTTGGTTTTAGTTATTTTAATGTTGGTTTCTTATGCATTATTAAACTTGATCTTGAGTCCCAATTGTTACACTCAACATTTGACAAAACATTGCGGTCGGTCTTATACTGTGTTTGACATACATTGGATGATGAGACAAAAATTGCAACCCCTCGTCTATGTAAATGACCTAAATGCCCTACACATTGATGTCTTGCTAAACCAAACTATTTATAAAGATTTTATGGATATTTCTTGATATCTTGAGGTAGAACCTTGTACTCTAGATATAGATCGCACATTATGATCAAAACTTATAACCTTAAACCTTTGTGAAATTCTTTTTGAAAATTAAGCTTTCTATGCTATTTCATCCCTATAAATTTCTAATTGAAGTCAAAATTTCAAAATAGAGATTACAAATTTTGTGCATTATACCGAATTTAGAGATACTTTTTGACTTTTGTGGTAAAAAGATTCGATTTTAGCATCCCATGTTCATAAAAGAGAAACCAAATACAAATTTATTAATCTTGAAACCTAATGAAATGCATCAACATTAATTTTGACCACAGAAGTCAACGTTTTTTTACCATCAAGTTCAGGAACAAGGAGAGGGAATTTCAATTCAAAATGCAAAATTGAAGTGTGATTATTGTTGAGATTTTACCAGGAAACAGAAATGGGTAATTGAACTGAACAACTCTTATTAACACACTTTTTGCCCAAATTTTGACAACCAAAAAATCTCATAGGAACAGCAATTTACAAAGAAATTCGAAGTGAAATGCATGAAGATAAAGATGAGAAAAATGCTTAATCGACAACGAACTTCGTATAAAGCTTGAATTTATGAAGTATTTGAGAGAGAATAAGTGAAACTCACATGTTTCCCTTGATTTTGAACCAAGTTTCTGCACATTGTTTGTGAGCAGCACCCAGATCCCCCTTGCAATTACACCCCAACTCAATTGGACCACCACCACCACAACCACCACCACCATCATCCTCATCCTCCGCCTGATCAACGTCACTAACCTCAAAATTCAGATGGCAAATTCGACATTGTTTCTCGTTTTTAATAGAAGAATGCACCTTCATCTCCAATTCCCCACTCTCCAAATCAATCTCATCTGATGATGACTCCATGCGGCTGTGATTGTAGGAGAAGATTCCAGAAGACCCACATTCGTCACCGGCGACGGATGAATCGAGACGCGCGGAGGACTGCGCATCGGAGTCAGATAATCCAAAGCTGCTACCGCCGTCAGTGGTAGCAGCTTCGCTGCTAAAAGCATGAGAAGGTCGGCGCCGACGGCTGGAACGGCCACGACGGCGGCGGCGTCTTGCAGGAAGCGCTCCCATTCCAACAGCTGGTACTTCAACGTCAGCAAAATTATCGATAGAAGACATATTTGTGGGGAAATCTGTGGAGTGTAAAAATGGTATATTGGTGTGTGTGAAGGAGGTGGAGCTGGAGGTGGGTGTCAGTGTTGAAAATGAAACGCAAAGAAAAGGACTCTCTTACTACAGTTTTCTTTCTTTTCTCCAGACTTCTGTCAGATAAAGAAGACCTGTGGGCACACATTTCCTTTATCTCTCACTCTATATATATTTAATTTATAAATAAAATTATAAGATCAAAATAAAACCTTCCATTAAAAATAAAAATATGGCTTTGATTAATCTGAATTTATGTTTCAGAGGCAGAGGCAGAGGCAGCAGTAGGAATGAACAACGAAAGCGATCCGGCTGGGACCGGTCCGAATTGGACCCGATCCAGGAACCGAAGTTGGTTGAAATTTAGAACCGAACCGGACCGCCGGTTCTACCGGTTCTGGTTCCGGTTTTTATCGAGTCTTCGATGTTGGAACCGGTTCCGGTTTTTATCGGGTTTTCGATGTTGGAACCGGTCCACAAGAAATAGCAACGTATTTTGGGAAATATTTTAGTTATCAGTTATAAGCATTTTTCTCCCTTGACTATCTACCGAAGCACAAACTGCACCTGTAAGCCATTCATTTTATAAAAAGTTGGAATCATGCATGATTACTAAAATGTACTTAATATCACATTTAATATCTGCAAAAGTTGGTTACTCCCACATATAATCTTGTCAACAGAACATTTGATATTCCAACATCATTGAAAGTCAAAGATAAAGAACCATATTGATTCCACCAAATTATTGCAATACAAACAGAGTGCATCAACATGAATGCTACTACAGCCATTCAATTAACAGTCTCATTCTACTTGAAGAGTATTTTAAGGATTTATTATAAGTGAAGAGAAGTTTTTGTGACAAAGCTGGTCCGGTTCGGTTCTCGGTTTTGGGTCTGTTCCAATGACCGGTTCCTATTGGTTCCCGGTTCCAAAACTCGACAAGTCCCGGCCCGACCAGTTCCATCGGGTTCCGTCCGGTTCCCCGGTCCATATGCTCATCCCTACTATACAAACATAAAGCCTGTTTGTGGCCATGTGGTATTGCCACCATGACGATGTACATTATTCTCATCTTCATGGCCGCGACGTTTCATGGTGCGTGACGCAAAATGTTACACACGAATAAGAAGATAATCTCTCTCTCTCTCTCTCTCTCTCTCTCTCTCTCTCGTGATGCGTGCAATGACAGGGGTTGCACTACTAGAAAAAATGGAAAATTACGCAACGACCATATTATGGGGGTGTTTGGGATTACTTTTTAATCCTTAAAAGTCTTTTTTGTAAAAGTCATTTTTGACTTTAGCATTTGAGGGAGCAAAAACCAAAATTTGTTTTTAAAAAGTGTTTGTTTTAGTTTTCTTGACTTTTGAATGTAATTTACCTTTAAAGTGGCTAAAAGTCACAAAAAAAAAGGATTTCCTGACTTTTAAAAAACCACCATTTTCTTTTTGGCAAAAAGTTATTTTCAAAAGGATTTTTTTACTTGCCAAACATCTTTGTGAATTTTTTTTTTAACTTTTTGGAAAAGCTAAAAGCCAAAAAGTCACTTGAAAAGCAATCCCAAACACCCTCTATGTATTACAATTTTGCCAATTAAGTCCTTAAAGTTTTTTTTCGTGCCTTTTAAGGGAATAAATTGGTTTTTGGCGGGTCGATTTGGTCACTTTGGACAAAATGAAGGGGTAACCCGGTTATCAATATGCCACATAGACCTTGACTAAGGAAAATTCTATATGTACCCCCAATTGTTACGTGTACCCCCATGTGAGTGTAATAGTGTTTGTGCACCCCCCTGATAGTGTTGGATCCATATGCCCAAGAATCATTATTGAGTGACATTGCTAATAAAATATGACCCTATAGGTCACACCTTAATCAAGTTAGTACTTACTGAATATTTATTATATATTTGATATTAATAAATAAATTCAACTCTTGTATTTAATTAGAGAAAAATTATTGTTCTATGAAAACAATATTGTAAGAAGTAGAAAAATAGCCTTTATATGATAAGGTATCATAAAATAAGTCATGTACAAAGTTTTGGACACTTTGGTTAACCATGATTAAATCAAATGCTTACTCTACCATGGTTAAAAGACTAGTAGACATTTTTTGTCCTCATTAGGACACATGGGCCGAAACTTTTTAAGCATGGAGGTTGCTTGTCAACCTCCATCATTTTGTTCCCATACCTCTACTTTA